TTCTGAGCCCTGCTCCTCATCTTCTGATCCTCCTGTCTTCAGGATCTGGTGGCCAACAGCCCCCCAGGGAGGAGGAGAGCCACACTAACTGTTGAAATTCAATGGTTACAACCTAACCCTGTATTTGTTTTCATGTATTCTATCATAAGATTATTTCTTTTTTTTTTAAGATCTATCTATCTATCTATCTATCTATCTATCTATCTATCTATCTATCTATTTATTATGTATACACAGGATCTCCTTATAGGTGGCTGTGAGCTACCATGTGGTTGCTGAGAATCAAACTTAGGACCTTTGGAAGAACAGCCAGTGCTCTTAACCTCTGAGCCATCTCTCCAGCCCCCCATAAGATTATTTCTTAAAAACCATTCTTTGTGTCTCACCACATTCTTAATATAAAAATCTGTCTATCCATCTATGTTAATTCAAAAGATCACATCCCCCAAAGCACAGTATAAAAACAAACATGGTCCTGGCTTGCCTGTCGCTTCCTCTTTCTGAGACCAATGAGCATAATCATCTTACTTAAATCTTGTATTTTAACCTTGGAAAATGTGCATCTTTTAGAACATGTAGCAATTTCAAACTATGACACAGGGATTCCAGCTAACATCTGTGACTGAAAAACCCAATGCATCTCCAACCGATATGTAAAATAGGGACTGTAACCATCATCAGCATAGAAGCAGTTAGAGAAACTTGATCATCACCCTCTGCTCTCCTAAAAGTTATGTTGGATGGCAGCAGTTGGTGTCTTAGTCAGGGTTTCTGTTGCTTTGAAGAAAGACCATGACCTCAGCAACTCTTATAAAGGAAAACATTTAATTGGGATCGTCTTACAGTTCAGAAGTTTATTCCATTATCATCATGGCGGGAAGCATGGCTACGTGCAGATAGACATGGTGCTGGAGAAGGAGCGGGGAGTTCTACATCTTGATCCACAGGCATCAGAAGGTAGCTCGTGAGCCACAGTGGGCATATATGAGATCTCAAAGCCCACCACCATAGTGACACACTTCCTCCCACAAGGCCATACCTGTTAACAGTGCTGTTCTCTGGCGACAAAGCATTTGAGCTCAGGAGTCTATGTGAACCATTCCTGTTTAAACCACCCTGCTTGGGGAAGACTTGAGGATGGAGTGTAGGAATCTGGGTGAGAAGGCTCCCAAGATTATCATGTGAAAGACAGATGCCAGTTGGGCCAGAGGCAGAATATGGGGAGAGAGGGACAAAGGAAGGGAGGTCTCCTGGGCCCTTATAAAAGACAAATCCAGAATCCCTGGACACTGCCAACCCTGCAGCCCCGCCCTTTCTGACAGGGAGCTTTCCGCTTTGCATCTGCCTCAACAAACATCGGCCCTGAGTCTCTCTTTGTTTGGTTTGCTTCTGGTAAGTCTTCCTCTGGGCACCTGGCCCATGCCACACACAGACACTCCCACTGGCAACCTAAGAGAGCACCACAAAATGTTAGGTTGTGGAAACCAAAATCCATTTTGGGGGTGGTGGTGGTGCTGGTTGTTTCTATTTCCTTGTTTTGGATTGGTCATTTTAGACTGTGGGGGAGGAAGCACATGGTGGGGAGAAGGAGGTTTGCTAGAGGCTGATAAGCCCATAGTTTGAGGTAAACAAGTACAGGCTTGACCTTGAGTATGTCTTACTTGGCTGGACCAGCAGGGTGAAAGGGAACTGGGTAGGGTAGTCCTACTGGTGGAAAAAAAGCTCACCAGGCCTTTGTCTCAGATTAGGAAGGTGGGGGAGAAGCTGGAAGTTTTTTGTCTTTATGACTTAACCATGACTTCCTTTCTTGTTTGCCTGTTAGGGTCTGTGAAGCTCTTAGTCTCTCACTATGCAAATTAGCGCATCTTATACAGAAACAAAGAACAAATAAATGGACTAAGTAACAAGAATATCACAAATAGATTCAATAGGATTTCACTGGCCTAAACACACAAGAACAAATTTTTTTCGTGTGTTGGGAGTATAGCAAGGTCTCTCTATGTAGCTCTGGCTGTCCAGGAACTTGCTATGTAGGCAAGGCTGGCCTCAAACTCACAGAAATCCACCTGCCTCTGCCTCCCAAGTGCTGGGATGAAAGGTTATGTGCTACCATGCCTGGCTAAAAAATTATTGAGTCTTTATGATTATGGTACCTTAAAAGACAGACATTAACTGTTTTAGATACCTGAACCTTTATAAGCTATGCGCCTATTTGTTTTACATAGATATGTAAGGTCCACAGTTAGAAAAGAAATACTAAGAGCCTGCTTATTCTATTGCTATATCTAGGAAGTAGAACTAAGTCACCACCTTTCCCTGACAAAGGACAGGCTCAATCTAAGGAAAAGGTTAATTCTTAACATACCTACATGACGTGAATATGATAAATACCTCTGTCCTTCACTAGGGTATTTTTAGGGAATAAGTCTGCACTCCTGAAACTGAAACTCTTAAGTTATTCCCTGGAACCACGTATGTCTCTTCTGAGATCTTACAGCCTTAACACTGTTCTAAAGATTCTGGGACACATTCTAATGGTGCTTAACCACACCCCCAACCCCACCTGCAACAAACAAGAGAACCTCCAAAGTTCTGAGGAATAAAAATCTGTTGGTTGGTTTTCAAAAACACCTTGGTACTCTATTAACTTCACCTAACTTAAAAAATGCACAGTGGGTCTCTGCTGGTGTCTAATGCTCTGTTTACTGACCCCCATTACCCTTCCCAGCCAAACCAGAAGTTTAGAGTAAAAAATTAACAGCAACACTTGCCTGTAAGGTCATGCTTCTGACAACCATTAAGATAAACAGGTTGCAGATTTGGACTCGCAGACAGTTTTTATTGAGGGAAATCAAAAAGGTAGGGTAAAGGGACAGAGTGGGAGATAAGACTTGAAAGGTATGTGAGAATGTAGCCTCCTGATCACAGGAGAGGTTTCACTCATGCATTCACGATTGTGAAGATTGCTCTCTGCCTCCATCTGGGCTGATCCTGCCTTTGAGAAACCAAAAGATAACCCATCTCTAATTTCCTACTCTGAGTCTGCAGTGCTTTTATTATGAAATGGGGGTCGTTATTCTCACTCAAGATCTCTTTGAACACCCACAAGAAGCACCCCTTCTAAAGGGCACAGAGTTCTACCAGCTATTTATTAGCAGTTCTCAGTTCTCTTTATGTTTTGGTGTGCTTCCTTGCCTTCCTTCAGGCACTGTTGAAACAATACACACCCAGTACCTAGAACCTTGAGTGCTTTCCTTTTAATCTATGCCATCATCTGACTTCCCTTAGATGTTATATTTTGCCACATGCTTGGTAGGTAGCTCTATATATAACTATCAGCACATCTTGGATATATATACATATTTTAATAGTTCAAGAGATCTCTCTTAAGAGCTAAAATGACGTAAACAACTGTACACAAGGTTTGATGGCCCTTGGCATGCTGACATCAGCACAAAAATGTGCGGAGGCATCTTGAGGGAAGGGACAATGCAGTGTCAGTCTTCCTGTCTCTGTGAGACTCTAGTCTTTTGTCTTACGTTTTAATGATATAGTAACATTGTAGTCTCTGTCACCTCCTGTGAAAGAGGCTGTTGCTATCTTTTTTGGTGTTGATCTAAGAGAGAAAAAGGTTGTTTTTGAGTGCTTACTTTCCATAAGAAGTCCTGACCTAGCAGTGGGTTTAGACATTCCAGCATGTAACGAAATCTGTGTTTCTCTCTCTCTCTCTCTCTTTCTCTCTCACTGTCTCCATCCGGGTCCTCAGCCAGCTGAAGGAAAGGCTCCCCTAGTACCTTGTTCTGTAACAGGTAGGTTGCTTTTTCCTTTATTACTTTGAGCTAACTTGTTATTAATAACTGAGTAGCTGGCCCTGTAGCTAACCGGGAATACCGTCAGTTGTACCCTGGGCTCCAGTAGCTTTGAAGGAACCAGGGGGAGCCCTCGTATCTTGATCACACCCCAACCCAACTCCTTTCTTCAACTACTCTTGTCTCCAACACTCTGCGGTTTATTTGGTTGGTTGTTTTTTTTTTTTTTTTGTTTTGTTTTGTTTTGTTTTTTTTAATAACCCAGTGAAACCGTTCAGCTTTCTGGAATGCTGACTAATCTCATTGAGTTGACCTTGCACAGCTCTTACATAAGTAATCAGAGCTGCAGGGAGCTCATGAGAACAGTTGTCTGATCATATCTAGCAGATACATTGTACTTTTAAGGTACTTAAGATGGACCCCAAAAAAAGTATGTTAGCAATGCATTCATTTCCCGATATAACTTACATTTTGTTCGGCGTATCTAGTTAATAAAAAGCCTCCGGTGGCATGGGGGCTGCTGGGAGCGTTGAAGTACCCAGCACTGGCAGAACTCTGGCTTCCATCTTTTTCAGGAACAGCGGAATGAGGGGAGGGGAGGGAAGGGCCCTGGGCCTCTAAAACGTGGATGTTCGTCTTCCACCAAAGTACAAGCTAGCCTTGAAAAGCGTTCACCTGCCAAACAACTCTTCAAGAGATTTCTTCTTAAAGCGTTGAACACGGAGCCTGTGGGATATTCTTTTGTTGGTTTTTCCCAAGACAGGGTTTGTCTGTGTAGCCTTGGCTGTCCTGGACTCGCTTCGTAGACGAGGCTGGCCTCGAATGCACGGCAACACGCCTGCCTCTGCCAATCCCGAGTGCTGGGATCACAGGCGTGCACTCCACCACGCCCCACCAGTTGAATTATTCATGAGTATTTAAGTCATTCATGGTTTTTTTTTGTTGTTGTTGTTGTTGGTGTTGTTCCCATTGCAACATTTCATTAGACACCCAGTTAGTGTCTGTGCTCGCTTGGAATCATCATCCCCCAGGTTCATAGGTAGTGCAGCTCTGAACAGAGTTGGTGGTTTGCTCCTGGGTCGCCAGCAACACTTACCCCTCCCACACTTCCCCGCCCACCCTCATTCTGGGCGGAGCCACAGTTCAGAGCAGTATATAGCCCTGCAGCTAGCCCTGTCCTACAGCTTTTGCTGCTCTCCACTAGCTGAGATGGAAGTGGGGCTTTGGCTGCTGGCACTGTGCGCCCTGTTGCTGCCCGCCCTGTGGCTGCTGAGCTTCTTGCGCACTGATACCGACCTGACACTGCTGTGGGCTGCGTGGCTGGGCAGGCGTCCAGGTGAGGAGTCCTGTTCTCAGCTGGGTCGGTCCTGCTGTTCCCAAAGTTGAGGGATAGGGAGGAAGCGCAGTTTGGTATTCATATGGCCTGCCTCTATCTAAAGATAGAAAGTTTTTGCCTTCCAGGCTGGGAAACCTCTCTTAAGAGGTTGCCAAACCTTAAGACCTTGTCTCCCAGGAATGTCAGAGATCGAAGGCATTATCAGACAAAGATAATTGTGGGGAGCAGCGAGCACTTTGCCATGCTAAGGTGCCTCTTCATCCCAAAAGTGTTCATCCTAGAGTTCTCACTCTGCAAAGCCTGCAAGAGGAATCTTAGCCAACCCATAAAGGACCCAGGATTTCTTTCTCAAGTAACATGATTCTTGCGCCCTAGAGGGGAGGGATTCCACCAGTTGTCTTTTGGTCCATGCCTTGCTTCGGATTCGATAGACCTCAATCTCTGGGCTCTGTGACCGAACTTACGCTGTTTGCTCTGTAGCAAATGTGCCCAGCATTTCACAACCTCTGACCTTCAATTCAGCACAGCCCTAGAGGCAGGCATTACGTAAATGGCATGCTCTCAGGTAGACTTTGGATTCTAAGGACTCAGTCAAATTATCCTGGTCTCTTAGGACAGTACCCACAGTTTTTGGTGACATTTGCTTGGAAGTGTTAACTCAGAAGACAATGTTTGCTATGCTGAGTGGGTGAAAATTGGCTGGAGTAGTTGGGGACCACAGAATTGATAATATATTTTTCTCTTCCTGTTTCCCTGTAAAACTCACCCCTACAGACCAAAATCTTTAGGGCACATCTCGTGCAGAACTGGCAGCCAGTGCACAGAAAAATTTAGGGGAGCGGGTAGGTGTCCCAGGTGGACTTTCTCTTCCAAAGGAGAGCGTTTGATATCACTTTCGGGTTTGATAAGAGAACCTTCTTTTGATTAATCTCTTCATTTTGGCAGCCAAAGACTCATAGGTGTTTCATGTTGGGTAGTTTTGTGTAAACTTGGACTTGGAGAATGAAACAAAATAAATTGCTACTTTAAAATAAAATTATTTTTATTATGTAATCCTACAAAAGTCATTCAACCCATCAAAAGGAAAATCAATGATTAACAGCTACAAAGTCAGTAAAAATAAAGTAGTTATATGTAGTGCCACAAGTCATATTGAAACAAGTCATAAAATGTTAGTGGCTTTTAATTTTTAACTTAATCTTAAAAATAATTAGTCTTTTCTTAAACCTAGATTGACGAAAGACTAAGCCCCATCAAACTTCTTTTATGTATATGAATGCACAGTTCTATGTACAGATTATAGGTGAATATATCGTGTATTTGTGGAATTAACATTTTATAAGGTCCAGTTTTACAGAAAAATGTCTCAAGAGACTTAAGATGGGATGAGGTTGAAGAGAATAACTCAAGTGACACAGAAATAAACACCAGTTCTTAAAACAGCATAAAATGGAATATGGGCATGCTTTCTGGAGATTTTAAAAGAGAAAAGTTTCCTTCCTGTAGACTATATTTTGTCTCTTTAAAAGTTAAGAAAGGCAAAATACAAATTTCCAGTCTTCCTTTATGCCCTCTCTAATGGCAGTCATCATTTCTGCCTCTTCTGAAACTTTCTGGAGAGAATCTCTCCTCATTCCCATGCCCGAATCTCACATGGCGAAACTTAAGGTTTGTTTTCAGTGATAAATACAGTTGGCATTTCTTCAGCGCCAAGTATGCACCCTCTTATGCTCTGAGAATTTTGCAGCTTCAATTAGTTTTCTCAACAGTCCTGTAGTGGGGTGTGATTTCTTATCCCACAGTGGAGAGAAGTGAAGACAAAGAGCACACACTCAGGAGATGTAGACTGCTGAGCTGAGTGATGGAGTCGAGTGATGGAGTCTTGGGCCATGTGCTGGAGCTGGGTGCTGGGCTGTGTGATGGAGCCAGAACTTCTTAAAACTCCTTTGTTGAGCCATTTTGGAACAGCACACTAGAACCCTTATTTGGGGTTTATTTATCTCTTATACAGTACATCCTGCCCACAGTCTCCCTCTGCCTCCTCCTCCAAGTTCTCCCAATGTTCCCTGATACTTACCCACTTAGAAGTAGGTATTAGCTGTGAAGTAAAAGATAATCATACTATAATCCATAGACTCAGGAGTAAGATAAAAAATTAATTTTTAAATGTGAAAAACTGCATTTTCTATATCTGGAACATATCTATTAACCTGCACAAAATTAAAGTCCAAGTGGATCAAAGACCTCAACAAAAAACCCGACACACTAAATCTGTTGGAAGAAAAAAATTGGGCAAGAGCCTTGAACTCATTGGCACAGGAGACAACTGTTCCAAGAATAACAAGATCTCAGGCTCTAAGATCAACAATCAGTAAATGGGACCTCATGAAATGGAAAAGCTTCTGTAAAGCAAAGGACACTGTCAACAAAACAAAACAACAACCTACAAACTAGGAAAAGATCCTCACCAACTCTACATCCGATAGAGGGCTAATAAACCTCTAAACCCAAATTGGGATTTGAACATATGTGATAATTGTTTGCTATTTTTGTCAAACCTCACATAGTTTTAGAAAATACTTATCTTTATTAACCCTTTGAGAAGTCCGTGAATACAATATATTTTTATTGTATCCCTTTTCCCTTCCCAGATCCACCCCATCCCACCCCTAACTTGATGTTCTTTTTTTCTTTTGTTTGTTCTCTCCCCAACCCCCAAATTCAGTAAGGCCAATTTGTGTTTCCTGTATACTCATGGATGTTGGGCCACCCATTCAAGCCTGGTTGACCTACCATGGGCCTTACCTTGAAAACAAAACAAAACAAAACAAAACAAAACAAAACAAAACAAAACAAGAAACCTGACTGTCTCAGAAGCCATCATCTGTCAACAGCTCAGGGTGGAGACCCAGGAGCCTCTTCCCCTTTTCTTGCTGTAATATTGGCTGATCTTATCAGGGTGTGGTGTAGTCAACCAGATCTGCTGTGAGGTCATGAGTGCCCAGGCCCTGTCACACAGCGAAGACATCTCTGTTCAGGCCCTCCACAACCTCTCTCTCTTCCGACCTTCCTGTCCTCTCTTCCTTGATGGACCCTGAACCTTGGGGAGAGGATTGTTTGTTTTGTTTTGTTTGCATTTTTTTTTAAAGCCAGGGTTTTGTGTTACCCAGCCTAACTTCAAACTTACTTGCTTTGTATCTAAGGAGGATACTCTTGAGTTCCTGACCCTTTTGCCTTCGCCTATGAGTGCTGGGATTGCAGGCGTGTGCCACTACAGTCATCTGATGCTGTGCGGACGACTGCACCCAGGATGTAATGAATGCTAGGCAAGCTTTATCTAAGCTGAGCCACATCCCCGGTACCCCCACAACTCTGACCTTCTTAAAGACAGGAAGTTCACTGTGGTCTAAGGTTCAGAAAGACCCTGGCGATTACGGTCCCCAGCACCACTGCCTGCCTTTGTGTGGCTGCTGCACTGTTTGGGTGTAGTCCTTATAGCGACAGAGATGCTTGGAGACCATGATTCACATTTCTTCCCTACGGAATGCATCTTGTATGAGCTACTACGGCCTCCTACAATGAGAGCCTGTACATCGGGGAGCTTGGTTACAATAAGACAGTGTTTGACAGATACCAGATATGATTGGCAAAAGAAAACAGCATTACTTTTAAGTGTAGGATGATCAGATTGTACGATTGACCAGAATTTAAATCCAGATTCTTACCAACAACTGTACCCCCCACCCCAACACACACAACCTGGAATAATAGAACTGAAAACTGGAAGGGACCCAGTTTTTTAATCTGAATCTCCCATGTAAGGGGTAAAAAAAATTGAGTCCAGACAATTCATTTCTACTTAGCATCTTTAATTTTCTTTATTTAATACATAGATAAATAGTGTTAGAATGAAACTATTGGAATTAGAATAAAAGGCTGAAAAGTTTACCAAGAATTCTGAAATATACAAAATATTGGATGGAGAGAAAAACATATATTTGTACTTTTAAAGAAATCTTAGGAGATTTGAAAATTTAAGTTTCGCATAGTAGGTTGTCATATTTAATGTCACGGTTTAAATTTTATTTTATTTTTTTACTGTCGTTTTTTGAGTCAGGGTCTCTCTTTCTAGCTCTGGCTCTTCTGGAATTCACTTTGTAGACCAGGCTAGGCCTTGAACTCCCAGAGATTCACCTACTTCTGCCTCCCAAGTGCTGGGACTAAAGGTGTGAGCCACCACACCCAGCTGTCTCACTTATTCTTCATTCCTGTTTTGCTTCTCTTTAATACGTGAGTATCACCATCCTGTGTATGGTCCTGCCAACCCTCCTCCACCTTCCACAGAACAGGTCCTGACTGGCATGGTGGTGTGGGTGACTGGAGCCTCCAGTGGCATTGGCGAGGAGCTGGCTTTCCAGTTATCAAAGCTCGGAGTGTCTTTGGTGCTGTCAGCCCGAAGGACGCAGGAGCTGGAGCGGGTGAAGAGACGATGCCTGGGTGAGTGGACTCCTAACAACCGCTTGGCCTCCTACAAGTGAGAGTCCAGACTCGAGTGCAGCTTGGGGAACTGAGGGAAGGTGGACTGTCCTGTGTAGCCCGGGCCGGCTCCAGAACCTCACGTGCACTGCCCAGCCTCCTCATCTGTCACCTTTTAAGCAGCCACACTTGCTAGGCTTTTCCTTCTTTTCAGCCACATTTCTTTCTACTCTCCCTTTGGCACAGATTTTTGCCTTAGGTAGAACCACCCATTCTCTCCACGTTGGTGGAATAACTATCAAATGACTTGTAACTTGCTTGGGAGGGAAAATAGGTCGGCTCTTATTCATGACATGCAAATGTGACCACTGAAATGCAGCTTGCTATGTATGGTAGGTATTCCTGTGAGGGGTCAGGCATGCTATGTTTTGCCTTTTCTTTCTTTCTTTCTTTCTTTCTTTCTTTCTTTCTTTCTTTCTTTCTTTCTTTCTTTCTTTCTTTCTTCTTTCTTTCTTTCTTTCTTTCTTTCTTTCTTTTTTTCTTTCTTTCTCTCTCTCTCTCTCTTTCTTTGTTTTTGAGTTTTAATACAGTTATGTTCAATAGAAAGCAGGCTCAAAAAAAAAAAAAAAGCCATTGTTAACTAAAGAACATTTAGTAACCAAATTGAGATAATTTCGCTTTTTTTTTCCTCCCAGAATATATTTTTGGATGACTTCTTTGTCTTTTAGCTGTTGGCTTTCCTGGTTGTGCTACCGATTTAGCAAGGAGACCTTGTTGCCCCATTACTGCCCAGCGAGGCCACACTCCTCTTTCATGACTCTGTTTTCAAAGGCCCTGGCACCTGTGGACAGTGCTACTTCTTACGATGATCTGCCTTACCATGTAACTTGAAATTCCTGCTGTGGTGGAGCAAAGGAAACACTTTGACGGTTCTTTGGCTTGAGGGTGAATCAGGAGGCGAGCCTTCCCATTGCTTTCAAGAAGTGCTTTACATTTTGAAAAGTTTTATTCAACTGTATTGAATGTTGAATGTATTCCCCATGTCTCCTTTTCCCCTCCCCCGATTTCCCATTAGCTCTTTTTCTAACCCTGAGCAGTTTCCTGTTTACTTTCATGTTACACTCACACACACTCACACACACATACACACACACACACACACACACACATCCCTTTATGTCTCTTGTTAGTTTTTTCTTAGTTTTATTTCATTTTGTTCTGTTAAAATACAAGAAATTCTTCTGAGGTTTTTGGTATTTGTTAGGATCATTTTAACGATCTAAAAATGTTATCTGCTTTCGAGAAAGCACGACGGGCTTTCTAATAAGCATGCGTAGTCCACAGCATGTGGAGCATCCTGTAGAAGACTGTCAGTTTTTGATTTATTGTGAGGTTTAACTGCAATTTATTTCCAGATTTTTGTTTGTTTGTTTGAATGATCTTTCTGTTGACAGTGGGGGTATTAAAGTCACCCATTATTATTTTATTTGGACCTAGCTTCCCTTTTATGTCCTGTTATAGAAAATTAGGTACCCTACTATTCAATTCATATATATTTACAATTGCTTTATATTTCTGATGTATCATCTCTTTTTGATTTAGTGATCCTCTTCTAATTTTGGATCAAGGCTCTTTTATCGTGACATATATAACTAATGTTTGGGTTTGGATTATATTTACTTGATGTACTTTTTTAATTTTATTTTATGTGCACTAGTGTTAGGGTGTCAGAACACCTGAAACTGCTTGTGGACAGTTGTGAGTTGCCATGTGGGTGCTGGGAGTTGAACCCGGGTCCCTCGGAAGAGCAGACATCGCTCTTAACCACTGAACCGTCTCTCCATCCCCTTACTTGATATATTGACTTTCATTATTTCCTTGACTCTATGTGTGGGTGGGAGATGGTCTTTGCCGGTTTGTGTGTTTCTTACAAAAAACAGTCAGGTCTTGTTTTTTAATCCGGCAAGATGTTGTGCACCTTCTTGGAGAGTTAAGAGAACTCACGTTCAGGGTCACTCTTGAGAGGATTAGTTTCATTAGTTCTTGGAATCATGTTTCATTTTTGGTTGTCTTAATTGTCTGTTTTGTTTTGTTTTTTTTTTTTTAGTTTGCTTTAGTTGTTTGCTGGTTTACTAAGCTGGACACAGCTGGTTGTTTTTCAGTTTTTGTTTGTTTTGTTTTGTTCATCAGGAAGTATATTGTGTTGTCCTACCTGATGGAGATTATATTTCTTCCTCCTCTATGGATAGGATTCCTTTAAATACCTTTTTCAGTAAGGGCATGGTACTTAGGAATTGATTGATTTGTGCCTAATTTGGGAGGACTTTATTTCACCATGCTGATGCAATTTCTGGATATGGCAGTCTTCGTTGGTGATTATTGCTTTCAGGATGCTAAGCATCCATGCTTCCTGACTTCCAAGATCTCTTCTGAGAGGACCAATGTTATCCCCTGTCTGTGCCTCTGTAAATAAGCAGGACTCTTTCTCTCATGGTTTATAATGTTTTTTTTTTTTTCATCGTTGTATGGTTTTACATTTCATTTGTGTATTTTGACTATAATGTATCAGGGAACATTCTTCTCCATTCATGTCTTCTTGGGTTCAAAGTACTCTTAGTCTTAACTGTCTATTTCTTTCCCTAGATTTGAAGAGTCTCACTCTGTATTTTATTGAATAGTTTTCTATATCACTGATTTTTATCCCTGATCACTGATCTTTCCTCTCCCTAACAATTTAACTAATTTCTTTTTTTCTTATTCATCTTTTTTTTTTTTCAGCTTGATCTAGTGTATTGAGAACTCATTCTACCATGAGCTTCTCTTTGCTTATCTATTTCTGTTTGGCTTTTGTCAGCATCTCAGTCTCCTTGCTGAATTTTGAACCCATGCTACTGCCTTTCCCTTCTCCGTTGCCGACTTTTTTATAAGATGGTACAATAAAGGGCAGTACATAAACAACAGAATTAGGTAAATGTGAGAAAGAGGAATTCAAAGAAAAACATAAATGCTTATTTTTAAGAAAATAAAATGTCAAAAATACTGACTGTATAGTGGGGGAAAAGAAACAGATGCATAAGTAAGGGGAGGATGGAGTATAGGGTTAACTCTTTTCTTGGGCTTCTAAAGTTTAGTTGGTTAGGTATCAGGAAGGGACGGAGTTTTGAATGGAGTCTTTTTATCTTTCCTACCATGTAGGCTAGTGTTGACCACAGACAAGTCACAAAGCAGATGTCTAACAGAGATTTCTTCCCAGTGGGAGCTTTTCTCCTTTTTGTACTAGAAGCATCTGGTGGCTGCTTAAAGATTTGCAGTGTGTAAGCAGGCAGCTGATCCCATGCTATGGGGGAGTCCCAGAGATTCCCCAATCAGTACACCTTGGGTTGACTATATTTTTGCCAAATCTTTCTAGTCTTGGGATATTATTCTCTTCTGAGGTGCCCATGAATTTAATATCTGCTCATAGGATGAATGCATATCTGGTACATCTTGTACAGTAACTGGATGAACTAAGGTTGGTTTTCCAACAACCTTGAGTAGCCCTCTTCAGTTTCATCATGCAGTGGTAGGGTAGGTTGTTGTCTAAATTCCTCTGTGTCTGAGTATTCTTTTCATTTTTATTTATAAGTCTTCCTAATTTTTCTTCTAAGGCTTGTAGCTTATCAATTCACTGTTCATATTTTTTTCTTTTTCCTGTATCTCTAAAGCTTTTTTCTTTGAGACGGTCCAGAAATCCACTATGGCTATTAAGGATAAAATATGAATTACCAGGCTGATAGTAATTATGATTGGAATTATGTCAATCTCAGTTAAGTCATTCACATTTTTCTGCTTCTATTTTCAAGCCATCTAACGTAGCACCATAGAGGGTCCTCATGCCTTGTATTGTGGTATTTCCCATCCTCAATTCTCTCCTTGAAACCTTCCTAGGCGACTTAAAAAATCTAATGGTTTCTCATTTTGTCCACAGATGGCATGATTTCTCTGTCCATGGGGTCATGCCACATGGTAGAGGGCCAAAAGTTGCTTTTGTTTGTTTGTTATAAAAACAAAATCTCAAACATTCGATTTTACCAATAAAGATTTGGGAGCCAGATACTAGGGTGAAAGCTGCTAGCTCAGAGAGGCAAAGAAGGCACCCAGCTGACCTTCCTCCTTCACCTGAAGTCGCCAAAGAAGGACTGTGCCTTCTCTATACTGTCTCAAAAACCCCCTCAGACTTGGGGCTGGAGAGATGGCTCAGAGGTTAAGAGCACTAGCTGTGCTTCCAAAGGTCCTGAGTTCAGTTCCCAGCACCCACATGGTGGCCCATGACCATCTATAATGAGATCTGGTGTCCAGGCAGAACAGTGTATACATAATAAGTAAATCTTAAAAAAATAAAACAAAACAAAAAAAAACCCTCCGACTGAAAGTCCCTTCCTTCTACTTCCTGTGCATCTATCTATCTATCTATCTATCTATCTATCTATCTATCTATCTATCAGCTTCCTGACTTTGACTTTCTCTTTCTCTCTATGTTTTTTTTCCTATGTTCACTCTCTGTCAACTGCTTGCTTGCTCCACCTTTTGACCTAGGCATAACTTTATTTAATCCTGTTTACAATACTCAGCCAGAAAGCTCTTGAACCAAAGGGGTATGCTAGGGCTGAGCTACATTGCAACTAGAAACAAGTTTTTCCAGTAACACATTCTCGGGGTTCACAGTGGCATCAAATATCCTTCAACACCATGTATGTGGGATGGGTCTCCTGCCTGGGATGGGACTTGGAGGAAGGAAACTGTACTGACTAACACTTGTGTAGGCAATCTAGTCTCTGTGCTTTATAAATCACCTCATTAAAGGCTTGGGGGGGGGTGTGTGGATCAGGGCAGAGCACTTGCCTAGCATGGGTGAGGACAAAGGTTCAGTCTCTAATTCTGCAAAATAACAAAATTTACTTCTTAGTGTCTGCTGGTCTATATAATCTGGCAAAGGGGTTCTGAGCTTCTACATGATCTAAATGAAACCCACTGATTTTGAAACTGTGTGAAAGAGCAACTAAAGGTTGGAGATGGGGATTTGGCACTTCAGTAAAGTGCTTCTTGGCTGGTATAAAGTCTGGGGTTTAATTGACCGACCAAATTAAAAGGAAGAAGAACAATGATACATTGTGAGCATATTTCAAAACAAACATAAGTCTATACCTCTAAATGAGCTGTGGGTTTTTGTTGTTGTTGTTTGTTTTGTTTTGCTGTAGGCTAATCTCGATTTTGCCATAGTCTTTTCCCAAGTTTCACTCATCCCGTTCGTCCCTTTTGGAAGGTGGAGGTGAGGGATAGACTTAATGAGAGCAAAAAGAGCTTGATTGAATTGTAGCACGGCTTTCTCACTGATAGGCTGTTGTGTCTTAATTTAGAGAATGGCAATATGAAAGAAAGAGATATACTGGTTTTGCCCCTTGACCTGGCTGACACAAGTTCCCATGACACAGCTACGAAAGCCGTCCTCCAGGAGTTTGGGAGAGTAAGTAGCAATTTTTGTTGATATAAATATGTATTGTATCACTTTTCGCAGCTTGGTCAAAATTTCCAAAGAGAGTCTTATCTGTGGCGACTCATTCAAAGAGACTCAAGCACGGAGATGCATTAGTGGGTTGGGTATGTCCTTGGATCTCTTCATCTCTGGGTCTTGGACTTTAGGTCATTAGAATCTTTCTTGCCTTTTAAACTTTCAATTCCTATTGTGGGCAAAGGAGAAAAAAAAATCACCCCAACATTGATATTCATGAGTTTTGATATATTTTGTGAAATACTACTCAACCTGAATAGGTGGATTCTATTGATTTTGTCTTCTTTTTTGTTTGCTTGTATTTTGTTTCAAGAGAGGGTCTCACTATATAGCTTTGACTGTCCTGGAACACATCATGTAGACCGGGCTGGCCTGGAACTCACGGAGATCTTCCTGCCTCTGCCTCCCAAATGCTGGAATTAAAGGCTTGCATCACAACACTTGGCTTGATTTTATCTTCCTTTTGTTGACTTTAGAAATGTAACATTGCTGTACTGATACATCCAATTAACACCCTAACTGCTCTTCACTAGGAATTCTGTCAGTCCATTCATAGATCGCCTCTAAAGAATCATCTCTCTGATTTTATTTAACTAGATTGACATTCTGGTCAACAATAGTGGAATAGCCCACTATTCCTTCGCTGTAGACACCAACCTGGATGTCTTCAAGTTGATAACAGATGTGAACTACTTAGGGACAGTGTCCTTGACCAAGTGTGTTCTACCTCATATGATGGAGCGAAATCGAGGAAAGATTGTGATCATAAATAGCATCGCGGGAATTATACCTGTGCCACTTTGCAGTGCGTACAGCGGCAGCAAACACGCCCTTCGGGTAAGGCTGCTTCAACTCAACTGTGTTCGCGTCAACATCAATGTAGATGGGGGATTTGTCCGTTAGTGAGTGAGGTTGATGAAACTAAGGGGAAAATGTGGGGCTACAGGAAAAGAACTCTAAGAGTACAGCAACAGTAAATGACCAAAAATATTTGGCCTGCGTATGTTCATTGCTTATTCAACAGATTTTTTTTTTTTTTTTTTTTTTTTTTTTTTTTTTTTATTGTGCGCCTGCATGCTGCTGCACGCTGAGGTGAATCCTGGGGAGAAAGATTGTTTTTGCTCTAGCAAGCATACGTTGTCTTTTGCCTTAGCCTTTTACCACATTTTCAAGGCAAACTGGGAGTCTACCCTTTCTTATCTGCTCTTACTCTGTATGCGGGACTCCCTGGGGATTGGTCCTGGGCTCCACATCCCTCCTAAGGAAACAAGGACTCTATTCATTCTGGTTTCCTGGAGAGAAAAAAAAAAAAAAAAACAAGACAAAGCCTAGTAGAAAAGCCTGTTTTGTTTTACCTTGAGAGTAGCAAGTATAAGAGCCAAATGAATTCTTAGCTTGGCTTAAGAGGGAAAACAAAGCAGGGAGGTGGTGATGCATGCCTTTCATCCCAGTGCTTGAGAGGCTGAGGCCATTGACTCACTAAGTTTGGGGCCAGCCTGATCTACAGAGTGAGTTCCAGAAGTTTTAATGGAGCATTTTACCATTGGAATTGCACAGTGCAATAGTTCAGGTCAGCATAGATCTACAGAAATTGAAGGCATGGTCCAACAGAACCCTTCTGCTGCCAAAGGCGTAGTGATGGAGGGCTGCATCTTGGATGCTTTCCTCAGATTTGGTAATGGCCTGTCAGTCAACCATCTGTAGAAACAGCCCCATTTCAGGCAGATGCAGTTGAGTACAGACCACCTCATCTGTTGGTCCCCAGGCTTTTAAGACATGTAGAATGCCCTTCGTAGAGACCAGACGAGCTCTCTCACCCGTCTTCCAAGGCTCTATTTTATTGCTGGATTTAGTGGGCTGGCAAAATGTGCCCAGTTGATGGGCCTGTGAGGTGGTGTAGTACTTGCCCTGCAAGTTTGGCTCACCTGAGATTAATTCCTCAGTGGAAGTCAAGAACCAGCTACCCAAAGGTGCTCTCTGATCTCCACATGCATGGCGCGCGCGCGCACACACACACACACACACACACACACATACACACAAACAAAAAAAAAACACATAATAATTCCAATTTTTAAAAATGTGATTAATTGAGGCTTTAGTCAATGAGAGCAGAATTTTGGTAGTTGAACACTGAGGTCAGGAGGGTTTTGTTTTTTGTTTTTTTTTATAAAGCACATTTTTTTCCTCTCAGTTTTCAGTAAAATTTATAGTGAATTTGTTATTGAAGCTCTTACACTATACTTGATGTGATTTTACACAAAGAGAGAGGTTAGTGTTTCTGTGTTGGCTGCTTGGTGTCCATTTCTTTTGCCACAGAGCACCAGTGGCAAAAGGTATGGGAGCCTCTCCATACCTTCAACAGGCATATTGTTTTGGTCCATTCCTGGATCAGGCACCACTTGTCTCTGCCTGCAGAAGCCTTTACCATTCCTGAACTGTATGGTAGGGGAGGTGGGGAGAGGGAGGCAGGGGAGGATGTCACATTTATTGGCAGCAAACCTTTCCATGTTGCTGAATCAGATATGGATGCACCTTTTTAAGAGAAATAGAATGGGCTAGATATTTATGTTCAGTAGAGTTAAGAATGACTCTGGCTTGCAGACGCTTGCAAACTATCTTAAAACAAATAGACTACAGAAACGACTTCAAAACCTTATCAGCCCCACTCCTGTAAACACACCCAACCAAAGGCAAGCTGGCTGTGAAATGCCAAGGCCACCCACACAGACCACAGTTTGAATCCACCACTACCACCACAGTTAAAGTAACCAGTGCTGAAAAATCTATCGGTTCTGTGTGAAGCTGGAGCCCCGTCTCTTGGCAGACCACTATGATAAAGCTGAGTTCTCCAGCACCCCCAAGTGCCGCTCCAAACCCGCTTTCCCAAACATCTTGGGTAAACGATTTAAGCATTTCGTTAGCTGTCCCTCTCTTAAAACAATGTGGTCTGGGAATATTCCCTAGTTTAGAAACGTAAGGGAAAAAAAAAGATTTCTGTTTATTTGCTCATTGTTTACAACTCTGCAGTATCTTTAAGTCTGGAAAGTTGGACTATTCATTTTAAAAACATACAATTTTTTATTAAGTCCTTTCTTTTTTAAGAATTCATATGTGCACACAATGTATTATCATAGGCAGGCCGCATGCCTCTCCATAGCTCCTCTAAGATCATTCCCACCCACCCCCAACTTCCTTTCTTCTCCTCCTCCTCCTCCTCCTTCTTCTCCTCTTTTAATAACTCATTGAGTCCATTTTGTAATTCACAAACTTCTCTGATGAGGTCTAAGAGCTTTACCAATGTATGTGTGTATGTGTATGCATCTCTATGCGTAGATGTATATGTGTGTGTAGATGCATATATTATGTGGGTGTGTTTTGCCAGGTGTATGCCTGGAAAGTGAAGACTAGTATGAGAAGGGCATACAGCAGTCTTCAAAGATAAGTAAGTCTAGTTCCTGCTTGGTGCTTGTCTGCCATAAAAGCATTGATGGCAGAAGCTCCTGTTATCATTTATTGAACCCCTGGGATCTGGCATGATCTACGAGTACCTGCTCTGGTCGCCTCAAGGGTTGTTCACTCTATCTTTTACTCAGTTATTTTAGAATACACTTCCTCAAATCAGGAAGCTCTGAAATGAGACCTGTATTTAATTTTGTTGTTTTCTTCTTTTATTGCCTATCAGGGTTTTTTAAATACACTCCACACTGAACTTTATGACTACCCGGGTATAACAGTGTCTACCATTTGCCCAGGACCTGTGCATTCAAATATTTACCAGAATTGTTTTCTTGGAGAAGTCACTAAGGTACACATTTAAAATTAGAAAATAGTTGGAATGTTTTCCTATTTATCCCAGACTGTTGAATCATATAGATCAGGGTTTTTTGTCAGAAGTACTTATGACTTGACCACATGACCCCTGTTATTACGAGACATGTTAAGGTTAATGTTTGGCAATGTTTGGCTAATAAAATCACCATAGCATTAGTTCTAAGTTGGCTGCCCTGTCGACTATTGTGCAATAACTCTGTAGTTGGTAATAAAATTCCTTCCCTCCTCTTCTATGCCATTACCACAGATGGGTAGAGCTTCATTATTGTGGGATATTCATGTGGTTTTTGAGATGGTAGCAATCATTAGGCACTGTGGTAAAGAAAATGAGGAGCTTTAGTCCTTCAAGCTAGCCAGTACTATCTCAACTGGTCTGTGTATGATTCCTATGAGGCTAGTGGAATATCATGGATGATTATGACACACACTATCGCCTGTAGAAACTTGTAAGGCTCCATATTGCATGAGTCCCACTGGCAAACAGCCTTTGGCTTCTTAACATAACATTTCTGTAAAATATCTTGATTAAGTCTTTAGCTTCCTTTTCATTTTGAACATGTTTAGGTTCTGGGCAAGCAGGCACGAGACATTCCCAAGATGTCAACGAGCCGCTGTGTCTGGCTAATACTAGTCTCCATGGCCAATGATCTGAAGGAAGTCTGGATAGCTGATCAGCCTGTCTTGTTTGCAATCTATCTGGGGCAGTATATGCCATTCCTGGACTGGATAATTTCAAAGAAGACATGGGGAAAAATTATTAACCAATATATAATGGACTGGGTAAGAGTGACTTATTTGTTTTCTAGTAGTCTTGTATGAAAATACAAAATCTTCAAGAGCTTCCAGACCCCAGCTCACAATACAAATACCAAAAATATATAAGAAATATTTTATCATCATATGTAACTGACGGTTCACCATAAATCACCACTGGTCTAAGGTATTCCAGAAGTTTAACGTAACAAGCAAAGGCTGCATGTTTTTTTTTTCCATACTTACTGATAGAGAACATTCGTTTCAAAAAACTTTCTTCTCTGTTCCCTCCCATCATCTCCCACCCAGCTTTCCCATCTTAGCTCAGAAGTCACCTCCTCAAAGGAATGTCTTCCCTTCCCTTCCACTTCTTCTGGGCACTTAGCCCCTGAGCTTTCTGCCTTCAAAACAACCCACTACTACTGAAACAATGCGTGCACATGCACACACACACAGATACACACACACACATACACACATACCACAGTCATTCTTTCCAAATCTCTCCTTCAACACTAGGGAGGAAGGGACATACTAATTGTTTCTTTAAAAAAAAAATAACATAAGAAAGTCTATTGTGTATTGTTTTCATTGTTGAACTTGTTTCTTCTGTATGCTTTGTGACAACAATTTTTTTAAGATTTATTTTACTTACGTATCTGTATATTTGTATGCGTATGTGTCTGTTCCATGTCTGTGGGTGCCTGTGAAGGCCAGAAGAATGTCAGAACCCTGGGAATGGTTGTGTGCCTCCTGATCTGAGTGATAAGACCCAAACCTCAGGTGCTCTGGAAGAAGAGCAAAAGTCTTAACTGTTAAGCTATCTTGTTTCTTCTGTTTTCCAGCACTTGTTACAACCACTAAAAAAAGGTAATTGCCACATAGCTGGGTATGGTGACACATCCCTTTAATTCTAACACTTGGGAGGCAGAGGCAGGTGGTTCTCTTTGAATTTGAAGTCAGCCTGGCCTATGTAGAGCAGCCGGTTGTACAGTGAGTTGTGAATTCTAGGACAGCCGGGGCTACACAAGAAAGAAACAGTATCTAAAACAAACAAGCAACAACCCGCCCCTAACCAAACAGGCGAACAACAGCACAACTAGATGAATAAAAATCTATACTATAAAAAGGGCCATAATTTATAGATTATGTAATCTACCAGTAATTAAACAGTCTTCTCTATTTTTTAGACAGCTATTTCTATCTTTCTATGTTATAGTGAAAATGAACTGGGTAAGGGAAGGCCAAGAGAAAACTTTAACAAAAGGCTTAAAGACATTTACGTGGTATTCTAAAATTAGAGATTGGAATATCATGAGGAAGGGGATGAATATCATGAAATGGGGACCAGCTTCCTTTGGATGCAATCACTTACAAGCTTTCTAGTACTTCTGGGTGTTGGTCACGTGAGATGGTTTAGGCAGGCTCCGTAGAAAGCTACCAGTGTTTTAAATCAGGAGGATGGCTTAGGAAGCTGCCTGCAGCTCGGTGACAGAGAAGCCCCCAGAAGGAACGATTCTGCCCAAGAGGGAGCTCAGTGCCCTGGGTCAGAGCTGGGGCCTGGTGTTTGGGATATCTGGGTTCAAATTCTAGGCCCAAAGCCTACTTGCCTACAACCTAAAGCAGATCACCTCTCTGAACCAAGCCACCCACCTACGCAGTGGGTAGTGGATGGCAGTAACAGCTCATAGAGTTGTTATGGGCATTAAGGAAGAACTCAGGGGCAGAGGCACTTCCCAAGCACAGCTGGGTGTGTTGTCAAGGCTGCTCTCCTTTTAGTCTCTGTTCATGCTGAGTTTGGGAGCAGCAAGGGTAAATGCTTAGGTTGTTTCCCTCTTGTGACTCTAACGAAGGGCGACATGAAGGTGAGGGTGCCATATTGCTTCTTTATCCTGCTTTTAATTCCTTTCAGTATGCATACTGGTATCATTTAGATATGGTTCATCCTACCAAGCTTTGTCCTCATTCTGAAACTCCTTTAAGAGACAGGGCCTGGTGAAAGGACATGGAGGCATCACCCTTGGAAGGGATTAATGTACTTCTCACCGGACTCCGGTAGTTCTAGAGAGAATGAGTTGTCATAAAGCACAGTTACCCAATATGCTTGCTTTCTCTTCCATTTTTCAGCATAATTACCTGGAAAACAGCTGTCACAAGAGGCCGAGCAAATGAGGCCACCTAATCCTGCCCTTTCCACCATCAATGTGGTGAGATGAAAAACTAATTTTCTTGACCACAGGAATGGACTAATAGACAACTCCAGCTTGAACAGCTGGAGGGAATTAACATACTGTTTACATAATTTTGATACTAGTTAATACTTTCAGTGTTTCACGATAAGGCAAAGAAAGACATTGCAGAGACTCTGTCAGAGGGGAAGAGGGACCCAGTGTGGTACTCCAGGAGCACAATCTTGCAGAAAGGTGCACGTTGAGGCTATTCTGTGACATTTACAGAACATCTGTCTATAAAACATATCATCACACACAGCACCTTGTATTGGATTGCGTTTAGTGATTTCAAAGAATATGGTCTTACCTAGATCAACTCTTATTTTTGGATAAACTAAAAACACTTATTTTATGTGTAACATACATGCTAAATAACATGATTTGAATGTTACTGTGGTTTGATTGGAGAATTTGATTACAAAGTGATTTGTTATAAGTGGTTCTCCTTTCTTTCCCTTCCTTCCTTCCTTCCTTCCTTCCTTCCTTCCTTCCTTCCTTCCTTCCTTCCTTTCTTCCTTCCTTCCTTCCTTTCTTCCTTTCTTCCTTTCCTTCTTTCTTTCTTTCTTTTCTTTCTTTCCTTTGTCTTGCTGTGCAACCCTTCCTGGCCTGGAACTCACTATATAAACAGGGCTGGCCTCCAACTCATGGTGATCCTTCTGCCTCTGCCTCTACCTCTTGACTGCCAAGATTAAAGGCATGTACCACATACAGTTTTATACTGAAGAAGAAGCAGGAAAATTTCAGATTATAATACTATTCCCCTAAGGAAAAAAATATGTTTTTTTTTAAGTCACTTTTTCCAGGTGATCAATGGGACAAATTTTCCCGTTCCAACATCATCTTTAATGGATGTATTGAATACATAAAAGTGTCTTATCCTTTATCACTGCTTTTTAATGCCACAGTGGACATTCTCTCATTTTTCAGTACCATTTCCTGGATATGATGCTTCATTTTAAACCAACACCAAAGAACAATGACCACAAGAATCTTTACTTTGCTATAATAATTAAGTTCTAGCTTCTCTTAGTACACATTCTTGGGGGAGGTGAGTGGCATATCTCCCCAAAATAAAGTCACATCATGGGATGCACTGGGCAATGGTGGCTCATGCCTTTAATTCCAGCTGGGGAGGCTGAGGCAGGCAGATCTCTGTGACTTCAAGGCCAACCTGGTCTAAAGAGCCAAGACTGTGCAAAGAGACCTTGTCTTAAAAACAAACAAACAAGCAAAAGGTCACACCATGGGCATGAGTATAATTTCTTGTTTTGCTCTTTAAATAATATATGAAAAAATTATGTGTTTTATTATTTTTATTTACATTTTAAACATTAAAGTATAATTACCTTATACTAAAGTATAAATTAAACTTATACTTAAAGTATTTCCTTCCTTCCTTCCAATCCTTCCCTGCAACCATCTTTGTTCCCCTCAAACTCGTTGCTGCTTTTTCTTTAATTATTATGAAATACATTTATGTATGTAATTGTTATCATTACATATATATGCATAAATATGTAGGAGTAATCTGTGAGGCCTCTTCAGTGTTGTGTGTGTGTGTGATTTCAGGGTTGACCATTTGGTATTGGATAATCAGTTAGGGGGCCCCCTCACGCAGGAAGGCCAACTCTCTCACTCTCGGCATCCCTTAGTGGCCTGCAATTCCTTGTCTGAGGGTAGGGCCCTGTGATTTTCCTCTTCCACATTAGCATGTGTTGTTGTCCTTGTTCAGGTAGAGTTGTTTTCCAAATATAGCATTTCTAAAGACTCAAAATGCATATATTTAGAAGGGCAGTCAGCATGGAGGTGATGTACTAACCAGAAGAATATGAATAAGAGAATGCATGAAATGCCAGGGATAGACACTAACCAGTGGTATTTGTGCCACGTAAAAGTTACAGTGATGCCAAGCCAGGGTGGTATTTGTGTGCCAATCTAAGGTTTTGGCTGTGATTTTAAAAATTCAACATAAGCATTTGAGCAGGGTTTTAAATATTCTTAATGGATATTTGTTAATGATGTAGATCAAGAACAGGACAACATTTCAAACACTGGGGTGACTAGGAGAGATCTTGTCACCTTATTGCTAATATTTTACAGGCTACAGCATCCCCTTGAAGTATGGAAGACAAAGAATGACTGAAGGGGGCCCTCGTGGTTTCCAAACCTGCAGAAAGGAAGCTGGGAAGCATATATATAATGCTCTTCTCATGCACAGAAGACTGCCTGAAGACCAAAGTATAATTTTATATTTGTTAGCTTGCAAAAGAAGGTTGGTGATTTTTTTCTATTCCCACCATTTGCCTGCAAATTTCATGATTTCCTTGTTCTTATTTCCTGAATAGTGTTCCATTGTGTAAATGTACTGCAGTTTCTGTAGCCATTCCTTTGTTGAGAGGCATCTAGGTTGTCTCCAGGTTCTGGCTATTACAAATAAAGCTGCCATGAACACAGTTGAGCAAATGTCCTTATTGAATATTGAGGCATCTTTCAGGTATATGCCTAGGAGTGGTATAGCTCTTTGATCACCTCCCCCTGTGGAGTGCAGCCTTGTTAGGCCACAGAGAAAGGTGATGCAGCCAGCCTTGACGAGACCTGATAAACTAGGGTCAGATAGAAGGGGAGGAGGACCTCCCCTGTTAGGGGACTAGGGAAAAGGGCATAGGGAGAGAAGAGGGAGGGTGGGTGGGACTGGGTGGAGATGAGGGAGGGGGCTGCAGTGGGGATACAAAGTGAATAAATTGTAATAAATATATAAATGAAATTAAATTTAAAAAAGAAATTAAAAATGTTTAAATAATAAATATCTAATAAATTTGAAAGAAAAAAAAGGTTAGTGGGGACTAGAGAGATGGCTCAGTGGTTAAGAGCACTGTTTGTTGTGCTGGAGTTTCTGAGTTCAATTCCCAGCATGCATATGATGGCTCACAACTATCTGTACTAGGATCTGATGCTTTCTTCTGACATGCCAGTGTACATGCAGATAGAACACCTCAGATACATGAAATAAATAATATATATATATATTTTAAAGAAAGCTAACCAGGTAGCCCAGGCTGGCCTCTAACTCAGGGTCTTATTTCCACAGCCTCCTGAATGTTGGAATTTTAGGCATGTGATCCTCTTTTGTGCTTCATTTTCATTTTTTATCTAACTTTTTCAACATGTAATAAATAAAAAGTAAAACATTGCCGTGAATATTGTAAAAAGGATAATATATACTACATAATTGAATAAAATAACAATTAATTAATTTTTTTGTGTGTGTCTGTTTATAGACCTGAGGTCAGTCTCAGTTGTCATTCCTAAAATACCACTCACCTTGATTTTTGGTTTGTTTGTATTGCTTTTAATTTTTTTTTATTCTTCTCTCATACACTACATCCTGATCAGTTTCCCCTCTCTCCAGTCCTCCCAGTGCCCTTGCCACCTCCTCTCTTCCCTAGATCCGCTCTTTCTCTGTTTTCCTTCCAAAAAAAAAAAAAAAAAAAAAGAGCAGTCTTCCCAAGGGTATCAACCAAACAAACATATTATAACAAGTTACAAGATGACTAGGCACAAACCCTCACATCAAGGCTGGATGAGGCATCACAGTAGGATGAAAGGGGTCCAAAGAGGAGGCAAAGAAGTCAGAGATAGCCCCACTCTCCCTGTTAGGAGCTCCATGAGAACACCAACTTATGCAACCATAACATATAGAGGAGCTAGGTCACATCCATATAGGCTCTGTGATTATTCTGTTTATGTGAGCACCTGTGAGTCCTGTTTAGTTAATTCTGTGGGCTACTTCCTTATGGTGTCCTCCTCTGGCTCCTGTAATCTTTCCTCTCCTATTTCTTAAGGGTTCTCCTGGACCTCCCTAGTGTTTGGCTGTGGCTCTCTGCATCTGTTCCCATGAGTTGCTAAATGACATCTCTATTTATGACGGGCTAAGCTCTGATCTACAAGTACAGCAGAACATCGTTAGGAATCATTTCATTGACTCCCCCTGGCCCCCTAGTCATGTTTGGTTCTATCTAGGATCTTGGGACTGTGCAGCCTCTGGTTCCTGGCCATCCAGGCGGTGGCAGGTGTGGGCTACCTCTTATGACATTGGACCTCAAGTTGGACTGATCATCGGTTGGCCACTCCCACAAACTCTGTGCCATTATTACCCCAGCATATCTTACAGGCAGGACAGATTGCAGCCCAAAGGTTTTGTGGCTGGGCTGATGTCCCATTTCCACTGCTGGAAGCCATGCCTAGTTATAGAATATGGCCAGTTCAGGATCTATAGTGCCCATTACTAAGCATCTTTACTAAGATCACTTTCGTAGAGTCCAGGGATTTCCACTGCCCTAGGTTTCCACATTACCCCACAAATGCCCCCCCCCCATTTCAGTCATCTTTCCCAGTACTCTCTCTCCACTCCCAGCTGCCGCCTGCTCCCTCCTGTTCCCATCCCTCAAAAGAGATTCTATTTCCTCTCCCCAGGAAGATTTATACAGTACCTCGTGAGCCCTCCTTGTTATTTAGCCTCTCTGTGTCATGGTTATCCTTTACTTTACAGCTAATATCCACTTATAAATGACTACAAACCATGTTTGTCTTTCTGGATCTGGATGCCTCACTCAGGATGATTTTTTTCTAGTTGCATCCATTTGCCTGAAGATTTCATGATGCCCTTGCTTTTAATAGCTGAGTAGTATTCCATTTTGTAAATGTACCACAATTTCTGTATCCATTCTTCAGTTGAGGGACATCTAGGTTGTTTCTACTTTCTAGCTATTACAGATACAGCTGCTGTGAACATAGTTGAGCAAGTATCTTTGTGGTAGGATGGAGCATCCTTTAGGAATATGCCCAAGAGTGGTATAGCTGGATCCTGAAGTAGATTGATTCTCAGTTTTCTGAGAAACTGCTATATTGATTTCCAAAGTGTACAAGTTTGTCACCAGCAATATTCCTCTTCATAGCCTCCCCAGCCTGAGCTGCTACTTGTGTTTTTTATCTTAGCCACTCTGACAGGTATAAGATTAGAATATCAGAGTTGTTTTGATTTGCATTTTCCTGATGATTAAGAATACTAAGCACTTCTTCAAGTGTATCTTGGCCATTTGAAATTCCTCTGTTTAGATTTGTATCCAATTTTTTAGCTGGATTGCTTGGTTTCTAGAGTTCTTTGTATATTTTGGATATTAACCTTCTGTTGAATGTATGGTTGGTGAAAATCTTTTCCCATTCCATGATGCTGTGGTTTTGTCCTATTGGCAGTGTCCTTTGCTTTTCATTTTCATGAGGTCCCATTTATTGATTGTTAATCTTAGTGCCTGAGCTATTGGTGTTTTGTTCAGGAAATTGTCTCCTGAACCAATGTATTAGAGACTATTCCCCACTTTCTCTTCTGTTTCTGGTTTTATGTTGAGGTCTTTGATTGACTTGGACTAAAGTTTTGTGCAGTGTAAAAATAATGTATGCTTTTTCTCTATGCCTGCTGTAGTTCCCAAATAATGACACGAGGACCTATTAAATTTATTAACAAGCTTCAAGCACTATAGCTGGGCAGATACTCATCTGTTCTAACCCAAGTACGCTGACCTGGACCTATTTCCCAGCATTGTCCCATTACCCGCCTTCTTAGTCTCTCCCTGGCTGCTCCTGCTCCATGTTTGTCCTCGTGGCACCTCCTCATCTCCTCACCTAGAGCTTCTTTTCCTGTCTTCCCTTCTGCTTCACCTGGGACCCCTCCCCCAACTGGGATCAGAAGTCTCACCTCAGTTTTCCTCTCCTGACCAGCTATTGGCTGTTTAGCTCTTTATTGATCAATCAGAAACGATAGAGAACAATTTTTATACAACATTGAGATAGGAGATTCTGCAATAGAATTTTTTTGGTATATTCTTTTGTGTTTAGTGAAATGTTCTGTAGATATATGTTAGGTCCTTTTGGTTCATTATACCTGATAGTTCTAGTATTTCTATGTTTAGTTATTGTCTGGATGATCTGTCTATTGGTGAGAATGGGGTATTGAAGTCTCCTGCTATCAATTTGTGAGATTTGATGTGTGATTTAAGCTTTAGCAATGTTTCTTCTACAAATGCAGTTGCCCTTGAATTTGGGGCATAGATGTGAAGAATTGAAAAATTATCTTGGTGGATTTTTTTTTCTTTGATGACTATAAAGGGTTCTTTCTCATATCTTTTGATTAATTTTGGTTTGAAGTCTAATTTGTTATATGCTAAAATGGCTACACCAACCAGCTTGTTTCTTAGGTCATTTACTTGCAAAAACATTTTTCCAACCCTTAACTCTGAGGTAATGTCTATCGTTGATGTTGAGTTGTATTTCTTGTATACAAAAGTAGGATGAATCCTATTCTCACATCTATTCCGGTAGCCTGTATCTTCTTTTTAGGGAATTGGGTACATCGATATATCATTAATAGATATCAAAGACCAATGCTTGTTAATTCCTGTTATTTTGTTGGTGGTGGTGGTGGCGGCGGCGGTGGTGGTAATGTCTGTGTGTATGTGTGCACAAGTACACGCATGCACTTCCCTTTTATTTTGCCTGGTATGAGGTTATTTATTTCCTGTATATTCATGGGTGTAGTTAACCTAGTACCTTCTGTATTGAGTTTTCCTTCTAGTACCTTCTGTGTGGCTGGATTTGTAGATATTTATTGTTTAAATTTGACTTTATCATCTTTATCCATCTGTGGTGATTGAAATTTTTCCTAGTATAGTAGTCTGGGTTGGCATCTGTGGTCTCTTGGAGATGTCTCTGCAAGACATCTGTCCAGACCCTTCTGGCTTTTAGAGTCTCTGTTGAGGAATTGGGTGTAATTCTGATAAGTCTGCCTTTATATGTTACTTGGTCTTTTCCCATTGCAGCTTTTAATATTCTTTCTTTATTCTGCATGTTTAGTGTTTTGATCATTATGTGTCAAGGGAACTTTCTTTTCTGGTCCAATCTATTTGGTGTTCTGTAGGCATCTTGCACCTTTGTAGGCATGTTCTTCTTTAAGCTAAGACATTTTTCTTCTATGATTTTGTTAAAAATATTTTCTGGGCCTTTAAGCTGGGATCCTCTTTCTTCTATTCTTATTGTTCTTAGGTTTGGTGATTTCATAGTATTCCAAATTTCCTGGATGTTTTGTGTCAGGAGTTATTTAGATTTAACATTTTCTTTGACCAGTGTATCTATTTCTTCTATTGTATCTTCGATGCTTGAGATTCTGTCCTCCATCTCTTATATTCTGTTAGTGATATTTGCATCTTTAGTTCCTATTTGCTTACCTGGATTTTCTTTTCTTTTTTTTCAGAGCTGAGGACTAAACCCAGGGCCTTGTGCTTGCTAGGCAAGCGCTTTACCACTGAGCTAAATCCCCAACCCCCTGGATTTTCAATTTCCAGAATTTTCTCAGTTTATGTTTTCTTTAATTGTTTCTATTTCCATTTTCAGGTCGTGAACA